AAAGAAAGAAGTTAAAAAGAATATGTGCCAATTCCTCGATAAGTGCTTCCACCTTCAATCTTACTCTCTTTTCCTATCATGTTGTATTTTTTTTATATGAATTATGGTGAAATAGTTTTACATAAGTCTCTATTAAGAAACTTCCAAAAGTTACTCAACTGAAATGACTTGAACTCTTAAATATAGAGTTATGATGAAGCCTTCTCTCTTAGTCTTTCCTGTAGCTCTCCTAGCAAACTTGTGTTTCTTCCCCCCTAAGTTATGCCAACTCAATTTCAAGTGGGATTTGCCAACATACCTTGCTTGGTGAGCTGGCAATTATCTCTTAGTGAATAAACCCTTCCTTCACTCTAAAGTAACTCTGCCAAGATGAATTGAACCATCATTCCTCACTTAGAAAGGTTCACATTTAGATTAAATAGTACCTTGATTAACCTTGAAGTAAATTGGCTCTGAAGACATCTTGTATCGACATTGCTCGCTTAGCGAGACCCTTTCTTCGCTTAAGAAGAATATCTTCTAGAATGGGCTTTGTTCTTACCTTGTTTTGTTGAGCGAACCACTACTTTTCTTGGTGAGGTATTGATTGTAGTTTGTGTGTTTTCTCGGTTCTGTTTACCCGTATTTTATAAATACACAGTTAAAATGTTCATACAGGCGTTTTACCTTGTTTATGATAAATTAGGGGATTTTCCATTAATCACTTGTGAATTAAGTTAATAAGTGTTTATCTATTTTATGTATTTTTGACACTTATCAACCAACACCCAAGTTAAAGCCAAGTTGGTTTTGGATACATTCCCAAGATTGTGTTTTCTTAAGATGAGGATATGTGTTGCCACATAGTGAATCAATCGAATACAAGGGCACATATAGCCCATAATGAATAAAGTAGGAATGCCATTATTATTATTATTTAACAAGAAGGAGAAAGCATAATTAACAAAATTAAAATCATCACCTGTTTCTATTTCATCTTACTTGTATAATGAGTCGGTGCAGGGAAGATCACATATTTCAACGAATTCCTCCAGAGAGAATGATAACGAATGCTTTCAAACCTTACAAGTCATGATCTCATATTTATAGTTGAGGTTGGAGTAGAAAAACTTTACAAGAGTTAGGAACATCTTTCTTAAGACATTACCGACGAAGTCTTTCAACCTTGCTTAAATGAACACATGAAAAATTGACAATTTTTAAAGATCCCAAGATCCAAGGAGTAAGATGGGAGAAGATTCTTTGCAACAAAATTTCTATTAAACTTGTTCTCTTGTTCTTACATTGAAAAATAATTGGAGAAATATGCCATAACAGCGAAGCTTCTAGAGGTTTTGACTATTTTTGGTAACATTTAGTGATAATGAATGAAACACTAGAGTATGACTAGGGTTGACAATAAACCGAACCAAATCGAATATAGTTCAAAACTCGATTCGACAATTAAACTTTTAAACTTAGTTCATGAATCAAATGAGCTGAATATGAGCACAAACTAATTCGATAACTAAATGAGTTAGACTTGAATTATGTATAGTTCGACTCGTTAGGTTCATGAGTCAATTTAGATGAGTTGTTCTTAAACTTAAAATGAGGCTGGTTTAAGTTTAAAAATAAATTAGTGTCAAACTCAAGTCGAGTTTCGAATTGAACATCGAGTCGAGTCGAGCTCACACAAGTTCGACTCGACTAATTTCTAGCCCTAACGAAGACTCAAGAAGAACACACAAATTTTTAAAAAGTAAGAACAAATGCAAGCAAGAAGAAGAGAAGAAGATTTGAGATGGGATGAAAAAGAAAGGAGAGTAAGTTACCTTTTATAGGTTTGACTTAATTGATTAATTGTGTTTCTAATCGATTAAGCATTTAATGCAATAGATTTTGTTTGTTTGATTGATGGAGACACCAGATCTAGGGTGATCTAACCAATTAAACCACTAAGGTTAATCAATTAGGTGGTGCAAAGTTTGAATTTCAAATGCGTCTAATGATTAGCCTATTATGGTTAATATATTAGAAGCAGTTTCTTTTAGCTTCCTTGGTCCTTTTGGGCGTTGGATTGACTTTGGGCTCTAAATGGCATAATGTATCCCCTTTCTTTTGGCTTTGCACCCCTTGTTTAAATTCTCATTTTCTTCCCTAAATGAGTATACGGAATTCCCAAATCATGGACAACTAAATGATGAAATAAAATCACAAAAGACAATACATTGAAATAAAACCATGAACGACTAAACGATGAAATAAAATCATGAATAAAGGATACGATTAAACAAAATCGTGGATGACTAAATGATGAAATAAAACCATGAAAGAATATACGATGAAGAAATTGTAGAGGTCTAAATGATGAAATAAAATCATGAAAGATGATACGATGAAACAAAATCCCAGGCAACCAAATGATGAAATAAACGCAAGGCAAAATAGAGAAGCAAGTCAAAGCACTTAACAAAAAGTAAAGGATAAATTATCAAAGAAGAGTAACAATTTTTTAGTACAAACCTATTACAATTGCCATAAAACAACAACAAAATTACATGTATTCACTAAAGAAGATATGAAGCTTACTCTTTAATAACCACTATCTTCGCTTCCACGACTTATTTCTCTGGGTCCATTGACTTCTAGGGGATACGAATGTCTGAGTACATCACCTTTATTTTGTTGAAAGCATTTTGGAAGGCCTCGTAAGCATCTTGAACGCTATTATCAACAGAGTCTTTAAACTCCCTCCTCACCTTCGCCAAGTTGTCCTCATATGCCTTCATTTTCTCCCTCTTAAGAATATCCTCAACTTCAACTAAGTGAGAGGTTAGCATTTCCTAGGCCACTTGAAAGTTAGTTAGGGAAGACTTCACATCTTCGAGGACATTCTCATTCTCATATAAAAAAGCCTTCAAATGCATAACTTCTAAAGCCAACTCAGAAGAAGTACCACAGGCCTCCATGTTTTTCTATAAGCCACTTAGATTCTCTAGTAATTGGTTCAGATCATAGGATATGTGATCATATTCACCCTTTTAATGCTCATTATATTTCAAAGGGTTTCCAAAATCCATTATCGCACCACGACCGTCCATTATCGCACCACGACCGTCCACCACGGTCGTTCAATTTCTTACTATGGGTATCGAATGAAGAGCACCCTTGTTCTAGCATATATACCTGTCTTCCTTGCGAAGTCTCATTGTCAATAATGAGACTAGTATTTAATGCAACTGCTTCATAGGATACTTATGCCAACTACAAAACCTCTTTCACTTCTCAAAGCAACTACTCCAATTTTGCAATCCCAACCCAACTTTTTGAAACTTATTGCTGTTACGCCACGAGAAACCTTGGTGAAACTATTCTAGACTGACCATGACCCAAAAGGGTGAGGCCCAATCATTAGTCCAAGTTATTATACCATTCATACATAAAGCATCCTACGTGATATTTGAGGTATTCTCTCTCTAATTCGTAACTCACTTTATTCTCCATTCTCTTAACGACTTGAGCGTTGAAGTGCTAATCTTGTAGGTCTACCGTTGCACCAGAGATCTGTTCTTTCAGTCAAAGATCTCATCTCATTGTCTCACTTGTCATTTCTAATTTTAAAGCGGAACAAATATGATAATGGAGATGAATATTCCCTTTAATGAAGAGAGAGATAAAGGAAGAAGATGAAGAATTATAAAAAAAGTAATTTTTTTATTATTCATACTTAAATTTAGTGGTCTTTCAAGATCCAAATGAATAATATTTTTAAAAGATCGAATGGTTAAAAATTAATTTTTTTGTAATGATAAACATTCAATAAAATTGCTCAATTTAAGACATTTATAGTTAAAAATCGATGGAATAAACTGATTTAACTAAAAAAAAAAATTATAAAACTTAAAAGTAACAAATATCAAACAATAAGTTAAATAACAAAAGTTCTAATTAAACCTATAGACATGTTGAATATCTAAATTAATCTAAAATATGCAGTAAATAGTTTTAATTTGTATCTTTCTATATTCATTTTTTTATGTTCCATATGATTATAATCCTTTGCGTATTTCTATTAATGAGATTTTTCTTTGGAAAAAAATTAATTTACAGAGAAAAATTATATAACAACTTAGAAGTAGAAACTCATATATAATCAAGTTAAAAAAAAACAAGAAAAGAAATTTGAGCAAGATTGCTCATAAAACATCAAATTAAGATCTAGATCACACCTAATATTGACAAATACATATGTACAACTATTCGACTCATGGTAAATATGACAAATCTGTATCTTTCAATTTAATTTGAGAAACGGTTATATTTGTTATACCAATAACATTTCAATTGAAAAATCAGTTTAAAATTTATAAGAAATTCAATAATTCGAAATCAAAACTCTTTTGCTAATCTTAATCCTTCTAGCATATCCCAAACAAACTTCAAATTCAATAATATATGCATTAAAAAATCCAAACTCTTTTGCTGATCTTAATCCTGCTATTAATTCTATTAATGATATTTAAAAACATAATTTTTGGGGGAAAAAACTGTCATTTTCAAATGGTAAAAATCTGAAAGTATTTAAAATTTATCAACTTTGTGAGGATGCGAGGCATTAGGGTAGGGTGCAGTAAGGATTCCTCCAAATAATAATAACAAATAAAAATAATGGGCTTGGGCCCTAACCCATGTATGAGAATGACAATTGGTCCACATTTGCAAAAATTGGCTGTACCAACAGAACAGTGTGTGCGAGAAGAAAAACAAGCATCAGCGGAAAAGAGAAGAAAGTGTTGTGCTGTGGCAGTGGAGTTTGGTACTGTAAAGTGTAAACGTGTTCCATTGTACCTGAAATTTTAGTATGCTGTTCTTCTCGTTCAACTCGTTCCTTTGATAATTTGTATTTCTGTTTTTCTCTTCGCTTCTACACTCCGTTTCCTTCATATCTCAACGCTTTTATTTATTTATTTTTTTAAAATTGTATAGGAAGAAGATCGACAAAAGAAACAGAGCCAAAAATGAAGATGGTAAACTCCTTCAACCTCAAGGTAACTCTCATTTCGAAACTCTCTTGATATTTGGAACTAGTTTATTCGAATATGCATGCCAAGTGTTTGTGAAAATGTTTATGCTATGTGGCTAGTTAAATTATGTGCTATATGTGATGAAATTGTATATTTTTTTAGGTATTGCTTTGTAATAAATGTTGCTGGTGTGTTTTCAGAGAGCTGCAGCTGGGATTAAACGCATTAATCTCGACGGTCTCCGGTGGCGAGTTTTTGATGCCAAGGGCCAGGTCTGTGTGCAGTTTTGCCTCTTTTCTTCTGATGAATAAACAAACAAGGAGTGCGAATGTGACAATAAAATGATGTTTTTGATGTAATATTTTAGCAGTTTTTGTTGCAGAGTAATCTTGTCGAATATGTCATAGTTTTACTTACTTTATTGGGTGCATTCGCATTGCATCTTGAAAAAAGAATTAAATGCAGGATAGGGTAAAGAAACGGCTCCCAATCATTTGGATAATTGACCTTTATATCATGTTCCCATGCTCGACATGTATCCATGTCTGACGTATCTTATATTCCTAGCAGCGTTTCATAACTTTCTGCTTTGATTTAGTTATAACACCAATCCAGATATAGACGAGAATACTATAAAAGAACTTCAAATTTTCACTCTAATAATTTATAATGATTGGACCAGTATTGATGGAGTATTTTGACACCATTTATTGAGTGAATTACATCTAAGCAAGTTCTCTTTGAGATGTAGAAGATTCCCTAGCTTTGGACATTATTGCACTTTTAATTAGCATCTGGACCCTTGATTCTGGATTGTTATAAACTACTGAGTGATTCGTTTATTTGAAGTCATAAGACCATTTTGCTAATTCATATAGTCTTCACGTAGATTCTTGGCAGGCTAGCATCTCAAATAGCTACTGTCGTTCAAGGAAAGGATAAACCAACTTATACTCCTAACCGTGATGATGGAGATATTTGCATTGTGCTTAATGCCAAAGATATTTGTGTGACTGGGAGAAAACTCACAGACAAGGTCTACTACTGGCATACAGGGTATGTTCTTGGCATTACTACATTTGATAATTTTTTTAGAACCAAAGAAATATTTATAATTTTAGGCTTCTTATAAATCAAATGATTTTTTCTGATTTAAATGTCTATCTTAGAAATTGTCTCCAATATTATACTTATTGTTTTGTATACAGTTTCTTGAGCAACATAATCATTTGGCATTGTTCAGAGTTTTGACAAAAAGTAATGGCATGTAGGTATATGGGCCACCTTAAGAAAAGAACTCTGAAGGATCAGATGGCCAAAGACCCTACGGATGTTATTCGCAAAGCTATTCTACGCATGCTGCCTAAAAACAACCTACGTGATGTAAGTGCTTTGTAGACCAATGTTTTGGGGAGTTTGTTTTAACCGAATATGGAATTAAATTACTGGTGGCCAGAATGAGTGTTTTTTTCTTTGTTGGTTTGCATTTTTTCTAGAGTAGAATCTTATTCAAGACCAAAAATTGAAGACTTCGAACACTATGAAATGGCATTGTAAGGATGTTCGGTTATGATTCCCAGAACTGATACCTACTATAGGAGTCAAATCTTATGAAAGTGACTCGAGGGTAACTTTAGTGGTGAACAAAACTAACTGTCTTTGGGTAGGACCCAATGATTTTCATACAGTACCATGCAAGTACATTGTAACAACCCATGGTTTTTTAGAATATCTACAATTATACTTCCAAGTTGAGTGTTTATAATGATAACAAGGTTCAAATCTTTTATAATCTGTTTTTGAGTGTCTATCCCATACATGCCTATGATCATTTGGTGCCAAATTACTGTTAATAAAAACCAAAGAAAAGAACAAGGACAGGGTATCAAGGCAATATATCCTTAAGTTAAAAAGTCACAAGTCACAACCATGTTTAGTAGCAAACCTTCTAACTAGAATCTCTATTTTTCATATAATTGTAGACAATAGATCTAGCTAATTGGAATATGTGACACGACTATTCATCCTATTTTGCAAGAACAAGTCGCTTGACTTTTTTTTTATTATGAATTCTAAAATGATAGTCCTCTACTATAACAACTCTGTTAAAGTTCCTGTTATCCATTGTAAATTTTGCAACTGAAAATCAACTTTCATCATTCTATGTCAGTCAAAAAGTCAGTGACCTTAATTTCTCAGAACTCTTATCACCACCAAAACTTTCACCAATAAACCTTGAATAATGTGACAAAGTAAGAGTGACTAGATGTAGATCCACATCATAATTAAAATTCCTGATGGATGAACTTAAAGAATTTAATTTTAGGGATCAATTGAAGGTTTAGCGGTGAGTAGTTGCCCCATATTTTAAGGTTAGAGGGCATCCGACAAGCCTTTGTGATAACATAGAAGATTTTTCGTTGTTTGATCTACTAGGTGTGCCAAGTGCTAGTGAACTTCATGGTTTGTTGTTTGTTCCCTCCATTTATCGTAGAATCCAATATTTAACTCAAGTATTTTGCTGCCATTTGGATTATAAAATGCATTTGGGATGGGGGAACAGTTTTATTAGTGTGTATAAAATTCATCAGTCATTTCATTCATGTCCAGAGAATTGCTAAAGAATTGTTTTCTTGATAGCTGTAATTTTCTAGTATTGCTCATTTCATCATTTTAGAGCTTATTTCAGATTCTCTTTTATTAGTTCTGCAAAATTGAATAATTGATCTTCTAAGTTGCATTTTCTTGCATTATTGCTAATCTATGTAGGACAGGGATAGAAAATTAAGGATCTTTCCTGGAAGTGAGCACCCTTTTGGTGATCGGCCACTGGAACCTTATGTGATGCCTCCTAGGACAGTGCGAGAAATGCGACCACGAGATAGGCGTGCAATGATTCGAGCACAGAAGAAGGCAGAACAGCAACAAGAGAATGCTGAGCAGCGACAACAGAATGCGGATGAATTGAAGAATGGCAAAAAGAGCGAAGCACAAGAGAGTGCATGAAAACGTTATATGCTCACGGGGGTTGATACTAACCTATGGGTTATCATTTCAACAAAAAGTCATTTTATCTGTCAGTCCTTGGCAAAAACTATAAAGTCATGTTGATTTGTGTTTGAATTATTGTTTCTAAGGTCTCCTAAAGAGTGTAGTTAAGAAGAAACTGTGTTTAATAATACACAATCTTGCATCTTTTTGTGATAATGCTTCAAGTTCAAATCTCAAAGTGTAAGCCAGACTGCCATTTTTGCATTTTAAAGATACTATTTTTATTTTCCTTCAAGTCTTTAGAGGATTAAGGACTACATAGATTAAATGAATCAATAAATTAAAAAAAGAAGAGTGAGCTCCAAGGCTTACCATAATGATCCTTTATAATAAGAATTCGAGGTAAGAAGCATGGTATGAAATTGCTATATTTTTTAAGAGGATTTTTTTAGAGCATTGGTTGTTTGTGTTATTTTCTCAACGGAAATTACTGGGAAAAGGAAAAGGAAAATAATGAAATAAGCATATCCATTCATTTAAAAATATGAGAAAACCGGAGTTGTATTTATTTGGCTAGAATCCGAAACCATGTAAGTCTATATTCATGTTTTGATTTTAGAAGTGTAATTTTGTAAAAAATAGTAGAAGTGTTTAACACGTATCTACTGTAGAATTGGATGAATGTTTGAAATATAGAATTTAAATTTATAAATTTTACAGATTTACTGAATGTAAATTTTGAATTTTGAATTCTGAAATCTGAAATCAAATAAATGTAATTTTGTAAAATAAATAGAAATGGAGGAGAAAGAGTTAGAATGCTAGTAGTGATTAATGTGTTCTAAATTTTAGAATCCGAGTGAGAATGTTTTCAAAATTTTGAGGGGCACGAGAGATAGTGAAAAAGAAATTCACAATATCATAAAAGAATATATGATATTAAATTTGAGTCCAAATATTTGAGCTGCCAACTAAAATTAGATAATTTTGAAATGAGAGATTAGTTTCGTGAGTGAGTTATAGTAGAAAATTAAAACTGTAATTAAGTTTATATATAGAGAATAAAAAACACTTTCACAATCAACTTAAAATTTAATTTAATCAATATAATATTATGATTTCAATAAAAAATAATGGAAAACAATAAAAAAAAAACTATTTTTATATATTTACATGATAAAAATTGTAATAATTTATCTTTTAGCTTTAATATTGTGTTTGGAAGCATATAATAATCAAAAAAGAAAAGGAAGAAGATAAAACATAATTTAAAATATTTTTTATTTAAAAAGCATTTTTGAAAAATGGAGTATTTTTTTTTATAGAATAAATAAAAAAACATAAAAAAATTATATCCTAATAAAGCATACCCCTACAACATTGATTAACAATTTTGAAAATGACAAGGCAACTAGCTGCTCATGCATTATCAGAAGAGATCCCTATTGATTAACATAACGATGAAATCTCAATGTTTTCTTCGTTCCTAACCGAACAACATAGAGGCAGTCCAATAGAAAGTAATACATGCATGTAAAATATTTGCTAAATCAACACTACCATAACAACCAAATTGGAATTGATTATATGAGTTGCACATTAGACCACCGTAACATCCTTTTTTTTTTTTTTTTTTTATAATATTTTTTAATGAACTACTCTCAATATTTATAATCTATATTATGAGCCCCACGTCAGATAATATATGGCATAATCATGGGTTTGTAAGTGGGGTAATCTTCACTCTACCAATTGATTTTGTAGGGTTGAGTTAGATCTAACCACATTTCTTAATATGCTATCAGAGCCTAGATAGCGGACCATCCACCATTTATTTTCAAGCTTCAGTTGTCCAGTCCTGGGCATAAGGGGGTGTATTAAAAGTCACACATCACATAATATATGGCCTGGACATATCTTTACAAGTGGAGACAACCCTCACCTTACCAACCGGTTTTAAAGGGTTGAGTTAGGTCAAACCACATTTCTTAACACGGTATTAAGACCCTCGTTGAAGATCTGGTGGGATAGCGAACCACCCACCATTTATTTCCAAGCTTCAGTTGTCTAGTCTAGAGCGTGAGAGGGTGTGTTAAGAGTCCCACATCAGACAATATATGACATGAACATGTGTATAAGTGGGGTAATCCTCACTCTACCAACCGACTTTGTATGATTGAGTTAAGTCCAACCACATTTCTTAATGTGGTATCAGAGCTTGATTTAAGATCTGGTGAGCCACCTTCTATGGTTTCCACTATCAGACCAGTGAGGACAATCCTCACCTTACCAACCGGTTTTGTAGGGTTTGTGTTAAGAGTCCCACATCGGATAATATATTTCATGAACATGTATTTATAAGTGGGGGGAAGTTTTGTAGGGTTGAGTTAGGTCAAACCACAATTTCTTAACATGGGTTGAGTTAGGTCAAACCACCATTTACACCACAAATTCCGCATAATCAAAAGACTTGTGTTACCAACCTCACTAGTCATATTTTATATAAAGTTTATGAAGTTTACATTATTAACTTAAACAAACCTTGTAGGAATATCCAAAAAGCAATACTCACACAAAATAGACATAACTAGTGTGGATAATAGTTTTGAAATTTCCAATAGAGTAAAGACACGTAGGAGAAATATTAACCCCTCAATATTATAGGACAAACATAGTTGAAGAGGGTTATGTTAAACCTGCCAAATAAAAAGTTGAATACTTACTTCAATATTTAACTTCTATATCAAATTCCAATGGTCATCAGAATCATAATTCTTTTGCATAGATTCACCCAATGAAACTTGCTTCACATTTTCACGCTACAACCAACAATATTCAACAAAAGCAATATAAGTTGGATGAAATATCTAAATAGTAGTAGTAACTTCTAGGGCCAGTCAAATCTCTAAATCCGCAATGGTATTTTTACCATCAAACCATATGTTATTGATCTTTAACCGCATAAATTGAGGTGAGGTATCTTGGATATTCTAAAAAAAATGATGTTTTTAGAGTCACTGTGGAAAGTGAAAATTGTTATTTTCATCTCTTATTTTAAAAATAAACCATCTTTCAATACATTAAGAACCTTGAGAATGGTGAACCAACTTTTTTGAGGAATATATGACCTTTATAGAGATATTTATCATCCCAAATTGAGGCCCAAATTTTCTTGTCTAATTGCATTAAGCTTCAAACAAACTTACCTAACAAAGCAATGATTTTTGAAACAGAATAGAAAAATCTCTAAATCATATAACTTTCTAGGCTTAATAATCTTGTTCCAACAAGCCATATGCGTTGATCAATCCATCATTACCATGCCAAATAACATTCCTCACAATTTTATCCAAGGTCTCACAAACATATTAAAGAAATCAACAAATTTAAAACACTATATGAAGGTAAAGAAGTAAGAGTAATCTTAACCAGAGTGACCCACCTTGTCTTGCTCAAGAGCCTTCTTTCCAAGAAAAAAGTCTTTGAAGCTACTTTATCATAGATTTTCAAAAAATCCTTTTTTTTTCCTAGTGTGTTATATTTTATTTTGAATCACAAGTAACTTTTAACAATAGGTAGATCTGATATTAATGAATTGCTCATGATCATCTTTAGCACTTCAACTGACAATTTTGAAGCATAAACTCTTGACTTATTTAAATTCAGTTTAAGACAATCAAAAAGAAAAATTGTATAGTGTATTTTATTTCTCTGACAACAGATAAAAATTTTTCCCTGAAAGAAAGAGATGTTGCGACTATCCAATCTAACATACTACTTTCTAGACTTTTAGTACAAAAATGTTTCTTTGTGGAATAAGATATTATCATATTCTTTAAGAAGTTTAATTTGAAGGATAAAAAGTGAATTCAAATCAATATGCTCTAAAGAGTATTGAATTCCTTATATGTTAGTTTTGTATTTTGTTTTCCTTTTGAATATATTACTAAAGATCTCTTTCTGAAAACTAGCGAGTCTTATGTTAAGAATTGTGATTGAGCCTAACTCAATCCTACAAAACTGATTGGAAGAGTGAGAATTGCCTCCACTTATAAACACATGTTCATAAAATATATTTTTTGATGTGAGACTCTTAACACAACTGAAGCGTGAAAATAAATGGTGGATGACCTAATAGCAGAAACCATAGAAGGTGGCCCACCAGATCTTAAACGAGGCTCTTGATACCATGTTAAGAAATGTGGTTAGACCTAACTCAACCCTACAAAACCGGTTGATAAGGTGATGATTGTTCTCACTTATAAAGACATGTTCAGACCATATATTATTTGATGTGAGACTCTTAACACACCCCTTTACGCCCAGGACTGGACAATTGAAGCGTGGAAATAAATGGTGGGTGGTCCGATAGCGGAAACCATGTTAAGAAATGTGATTGGGCCTAACTCAACCTTACAAAATTGGTTGGTAGAGTGAGGATTACCCCCACTTATAAACACATGTTTATGCCATATATTGTCCGATGTGAGACTCTTAACATCTTGCATAATAGTGTTAAGCGATACAGAGACTCATCTAGTTTTTTTCTTCCATTTGTCTTCACAGTCTCAAGTTAAGCCTCATGGGTGCATCAAGCTTCCTGAAACCAAAATGGTCTACCCACTATGGATGCAATTCGAGTACAACATCAAAGTAAAATGAGATTATGATCAATAGTGTCTAACTAGGTGTTCAACTATGGCCTTTGGGAAACGCATACGCCATTATACATTTAAGAATCCTCAATCCAATCTCCGTGACACCAAATGGCCACCTTTACATTGAGCTTGCCAAGTGAATTTTCTTCCAACTAAATCAAAATCTAGTGTGTTACATTTGACAATCATGTTAGCAGAATTATCAGTCATAGCTTGAGAAAAGTTATATTTTTGTTGCTCGCATGAGATTAAAATATTATTGAAGTTACCCAACAACCTCTACGGTTGAACAATATGAGTTCTCAGGTCATAAATATATGCTTACACATCTTCTTTCACTAGATGTGTGAGATTGAC